GAACTCACAGAGATCCGCCTAGCTCTGCCTCCCGAGTGCTGGGATTAAAGGCGTGCGCCACCACCGCCCGGCTATTTTCTTAAATTTTTAATTACTTATGAATAAATCATCAATTCAGAGTCAAAACCAGAGGACCAAAGACTAGTAATAAACCCATAACAGTTATATTTTAAAGCCACATTAGTGCTTCTTTTGTTCATACTTTTAAACTATGTTTGATATAGTTTTTCAAAAAAACTCTAAAAAATATTTCTTCTAGGAGTAATGAATGAGTACAAATTCATTTTATCATAGCACTTGTATGATTATTACACAGAATAAAAATTTCAGGAAGGAAACCTTGGAATTCAGGTTTGAGTTTAACATGGAAAACAAAATGTAGGCAACATAACCAACATTTCTGGATGTTATATTGGGTTTTCATTGTATATCTATCTGCTTAGACTGACAACTCTAAAAATTAATGATTTTGCTTTACTTATGATATATATCCTTTGCCAATAGATTGGAGAGTTTTGGTGAAATATCCTCTTTGGAGATTAGCTATATAATTTTCTTCCCCTTCTTGAAAAATTACTTGCACTATAGAGACATACATTTTTAATCAAAATGCTGTCAGAGTTTTAAGAATCATGTGCAAGATACTAAATGAAATCACTTATGTTTTTCTCTTATCTTTGCAATACAGATAATACAAAAGAAGAATTTCATGTGAGGAACAATAGCTATCATGCCATATTATTAGATAGCTATACATTAAAATATATATTAAAATTCCACTTATTTCTTCTAAAGTACAAATAGTTTCTCTGAATATTGAGAGAACTTATGTGTATTTTATTAAGACATTTCAGATGGATGTTTTTTTGTGGCCATGATTAATTATTAAACTTTTCTTTGATAAAAAGTTTAAATATGTGTCTTAAGTCAATAAATATATGTTTAATATTCTAAGATATCATATTCTGTTTCTTATTAAGAGAAGTTTGATGTTATCAGAGATATGTATTATTATTAAATTTTAATTTTCATGAAGAATTTTAAATTTTAACTTCTAAAAAACATGCAGCATAAAATGCTATGGGTTTTTAAACAGGGAGCACACTGAATCATAGATTGCTTGGTCACTATGGAGTTTTTATGTTAGCTCTACTTGTCTGGGTGTGTTTGTTGGTTTTTCTACATTTTAATTTCCCTCATTAAGCTTTTCTACATTTTTGCATTTATTTTACTTCTTTAATTTCTGTTGCTAGAACTTCCAACACTATGTTGAATAGAAGTGGCAAGTTTTGGCATTCTTGCACATACCTGGCATGACTTGCAAAACTTCAGTTTTTTGACATTGAGTATGTGGTGTGGACTTTTCTTATGTGGCCTTTGTTATAGCAACTATTCTTAAACTTACCCACTCTTGACTGTTTTTCCTCCAAATAAAATTTTAGTCAAACCCAGACACACACACACACACACACACACACACACACACACACACACACACATCATCTATCTATCTATCTATCTATCTATCTATCTATCTATCTATCTATCTATCTATATCTATAATTATTTTTTAAAAAGCATGTCCTGGACCTAAATCATTAGGCAAGTCTTTTTAAGGCAAAACGTTGATATTTATACAATTATGCATAAAACCAAATTTGCATATTAAGGTGCTTCTTTGTTTTGTAAAGAATTAAAACTTGGCTAAATGTTTGAAACTGCAAGATGGAACATTGCCAATGTTTTGTTTTCTATTTTTTATTATTTTATTTGCATATTAATTATCTGCAATAATGCATTTTATTTTGTAATTTCATGGATATACATGATTTATTTCAATAATTGTCAACCTGTTACAATCTACTGTGATCCTCAAATGCCCATTAATCCTTTCTTCTTCCCGACTAGTCCCCATTCTGAGTCTGTGTTCTTTTTGTGATTCAGTCAGTTTCATTAGGGTTATTTACAGGAAGAAGGGTACAAGTTATTTGCAGGAGCATGCAAATTTTATCAGTGACTAACAGTGAAGAACATGTCCAAAGAAGAATATAGGTGAATAAAGATGCTCCAAGAATCCATAGGTTTTAAAACAACAATCTCAGTACCTGATGTGGACTATTCCCCTTACATGTTGTTAATTAGGAATGCCCCAGAAGCCCTCCAATGCAATAAAGATATTTATGCCTGGTATTGGTTGCCAATCAGTACTATATAATATGGTCCTGTTGCTGATGATACTACACAGCTATTTAGCAGGACATGGAGAAACCAAGCTAGAACTAGGCTGGAAGTTTCCACACAGCTGACTATACCATGTAGATATGAAAGGTGCTATGCAGTTTGCTGATAGATAACTGCCATCAACAGTCATACTAAGTGGTTGACCCAGTGTTTAACATTTTCAACTAAGGAAGATAATCACATTCATGCCATAGTGACAAGTCTGTTATCTGTGTATCAAAACACTTTCTAGTGACATCTAATCATTGTTCTGCAGGGAGGAATTGTCATCTGTTACTATAAGCAGAGTCAAAAGCCTGTAGCTGGGGAGGCCATAGGTTAAGTTCTAGTAGAGAAGCTACTGCTATCCTTTTGCTAAATGGACATGACATGGCTATCATATTGTCTTTTTAAAAATTTTTTTTAGAGCTGAGGATCGAACCCAGGGCTTTGCGTTTGCTAGGCAAGTGCTCTACCACTGAGCTAAATCCCCAACCCCCATACTGTCTTTTAAGTAATTGTGTTTATGTTCACAGACTAGTGAAGCTCTCAGCTTTGGTCAGAGAGGCTTTTTTTTTTTTTGGTTGTGTTCAGTAGTAACTGCAAAGACTCACAACTGGCCAGAATACTGAAAATAAATTACTGGTGTACACCTTCAATATTTTCATAATTAATTAACATTTTGATTTTTGTAGTTACCAATTTCGAGAATGTCTCTTAACATAAATACATATAACCAAATAACAGAAATACTTTTAGGACCATTTCAGAGTTGTTGGGAAATTATGTCTTAATTATGACCCAAAATACATTTATTTTTTTTATTATATATGAAACTCAAATTGGCAAATGAAACCATTTTAAAATCAAACATTTTTAATAGAATGTATTCCAAAGATATGTTAATCTGATACTTAAATATGAAGGGAATGATGGGAAAATATTGAAAGTCTTTGTTTTCTATAACTAAACATTGTTTCTGTAAGAGAAGAAAACTTTATATACACTAAAATAAACCCCACAAAGGTTTGTAACATAATATTCTTGATATGGGATGAGGTATTTTAAGCAATGCTTACTAGCATTGTATGGTGTGATGGCAACACTGTACAAAGCATACATATCCCGTGTACAGAACCAAGTTTGAAGTGAAGACACACGATGCAACACATGTGAGTGCTGCCAGCAACTCTTCAGATTTATTACACATTTGCTTTGGTTTTGAATTAATTTGCATTGTTGCAAATTTTTGGCAAGACTTTTATCATACCCACATTGTTGAGCAACCATATATGGAGCTGCAACACAGAATTTGAAAGGTTGTATAGTTTGTTTACTTTTGTAAAATCATAGAGGGATGGAGAAATTAATCACATGTTTTCCTGGTAAATACTGGCATGAGCCTATGATTTTTTTATTCTCAGTTATGTTAGTGGTGTATATCATATTGAGGTTTTTTCTTGTTATTGTTGCTGTTTTCTGATTTGAAACAAGGTCTCATTTTGTAGCTCAGGTTAACTCTAGGTTCAGTACGGCAGCCTATCTGACACCAAAAATCAAAATCCTTAGCAATTCTTTCTCAGCCTCTCAAATGCTGGGGTTATGGGTGTGAGGCACTACACCTATTTCTCCTGGTAATTTCTTTGAGTAAAAAAGCCATCCTTTCATGCTGCCCTCTCAAGTTTCTTTCCAAAAACTGAATTATCTTCCCAGATAGGCAGCCATTTCACACTAGCATAGAGACCACCATTCAGTTTACAAACATCTGTTTTGAGCAAATGTCAAACAAACTGAAAGAGAAGCAGGGAGGGATGTCCTCACTGAGCATCTACTGTCATCCTACCTTATTTGTCCTGCAGCTCCTTGATCACTCTGCCTCTGCTTCCTTTCCCCTCTACAGCTCTATGGCTCTAGCCAGGAGACAGGAATACTCAAAGTAAAAAAATCTTGGAAGTGGAGAATGCTGAATTACCAAGAAGGAGAAGCAAGAGAAACAAGTGGTGATGGAAGGAGAGGGAGAGGGGACCAGGACCAATTCTGGTCCAGTTCTGTGCATTCCTCTCATCTCTATTGTGGAGGGAAAGAAGACTAAGGGTGGTCATCTTAGCTGTTCCCTCTGGAGTGGTCTTTCTGAAGGAAAGCCATTAGCTCTGAAGGTAAACTAAGGGTCTCCTCTGTGCCTTGTAGTACAGCAGTGGCTATGTTTATGCTGCACCAAATGAGAACCTGGCAGCTTCTCAGTACATGATGCTAGAAGCCTCGGTAATCCCAACGTGGCACAGAAGGCATGGAAGATTTCTGCAAAGTTGAAGAGACTAGGTTCTGATGGTAGTGAAAGATCACACCATTAGCAGTAGCAGAAGTGGCAACAGTAGAATAAATACTAGCAGGAACAGGGTGAGGGTGATCAGGAAACAAGCAGCTACTTCCCTGCTAATTTCATTATATCTATCTACCTACTAGAAGTCATTAGTCACTCTGGAAGAAAAACCCTGAAAGCCATGTCTTCACTGATTTCAGATATAATAAAATTGACAGCTGAGATTAGCTATCACAACAAATAAACAGATAATACAGATTATTTGATAAGTGATTGTTATAAATATTTTTCAGTTGAAAAGTTTATGAAATATATAGGAGAATGCACATTTCAGATAAAATAGAGTAGTAGCAAGATTACTTTATTTTAAATGGCCAATATTAAACAATTAGACTTGTCACTTTTAAAATGTAGCATAGGAACTTTCTTTTCTGGTCGAAGATATTTGGTGTTCTCTAAGCTTCTTGTACCTTTATAGGCATGTCCTTTTGATTTGGAAATTTTTCTTCTATAATCTTGTTAAAATTTGAGCCAGAAATCTTCTTTTTCTTCTATTCCTATTATTCTTAGGTTTGGTGTTTTCATAGTGTACCAGACTTCCTGAATGTTTTGTGTCAGAATTTTTTTATTTAATATTTTCTTTGACTGATGATGTATCTATTTCTTCTGTCACATCTTTGATGCCTGAGATTCTCTTTCCATCTATTGTATTCTATTGCCAATGCTTGTGTCTGTACGTTCTGTTTGCATATCTAGATTTTCCATTTTCAGAGTTCCCTCAGTTTTGTTTTCTTTATTGATTCTATTACCATTTCAGGCCTTGAACAGTTTTTGTTCATTTCCTTCAACAGTTTGTTAATTTTCTCTTGGCCTTCTTGACATTCTTTAAGTGATTTATTGATTTCCTCCAATTTTTTTATTGTCTTTTAATTAATTCTTTAAGGGATTTATTGATTTCCTCTTTAAGGACCACTATCATTTTCATAAATTTGGTTTTAAGATTTTTTTTTTTGTGTGTGTGTGCTTCAGCTGTGTTAGAATATTCAGAACTTGCTGTAGTCATATTCCTGGTCTCTGGTGGTGACGTATTATCCTCACTATTTTTGATTGTATTCTTGCACTGTCCTTTAGATATCTGGATTTAGAGTTATTATAAGTCAAGGCGCCAATAGCTTGGTTTGTCTTTATTTGATGGGTGTTTTCTTCTTTGGTTTTTGTTTCCTTTCTGATCTTCTGGCTGAAATGGACTCTGGTGAATTAGAGGGTCTGTGCCAAAGTTGGGGGCTGAAATTCTGAAGTCCTGGATGGCTTCTGGTTCAATAGGGGGTTGCTGTCCATATTTGGGGCAGGAGTTTTAGCAATGTGCATAGCTTCTGGTCTGTCTGGGAGGCATCAGGGATTTAGGATGTTGGACTGCCTTCTGCTGGCATAGGAGATTTCTGCCTGGTTTTTTGGCAGCTGGCATGATCTCTGAGGTTCATGGTACTATTCTAGCCTCTGGTGGATGAGTAGGTTTCCTCCAGAGGTGTATGCCATGATATGTTTAACAAGGAGAGGAGGGAATGTTTGGGTTATTCTGAGGGGGGTGCAGGAGAGGTGGAGGGGAGGTGTTGACTTACCTGGATTTTTAGGGAGCTGGTATGGCCTCTGATGGGATAGGAGGTTTCCACCAGAGTTGTGGGCCAGGATATGGTGACAAGGAGAGGAGGGACATGTTATAGTTATGCTGGGAGGAAGTAAGCAGGGTGGGGGTGGTCTTGTCTTGGATTCAGCAAGCTGGACTGGCCTCTGGTGGAGTAAGTGGTCACAACTCTGCTGGAGGTGTGGGCTAGAATATGCTGATGAGGAGAGGAGGGGCTATTGGAGTTATGCTGGGCAAGAGCAAGCTAGTTGTGTGGTATTCTTACCTGAAGTTCCAGAGGCTCGCCTCACCTCTGGTCAGGTAGGAGGCTTCTGCCAGAGGTGTGTGCTGGAATAAAATAAAATATGGTACGTTTACACAATGGAGTATTACTCGGCTGTTCAAAACAATTGCAGTGTGAAATTCGCAGGTGAATGGATGGGAACTAGAAAAAAAAAATCATCCTGAGTGATATAATCCAGACCCAGAAAGACAAACATGGTATGTACTCACTTATAAATGGATATTAGTTGTAATGTAAAGAATAACCACACTAAAATCCACAGACCTGGGGAAGCTAAGTAACAAGGAAGATTCAATTGGGCGGGGGAGGGGTACATGAATCTCCCTGGGAAGGGGAAATAAAATAGATTTTGCATGAGTACTGGAGGAAGGCTGAGAAGAGAGCAGGAGGGATTAAGTAATGGAAATAGTGGGGGAGAATACTATAAGAGATGACTGCAAAGGGGAAACATTTCTTAGTGAAGTTGAAACCTAGTACAATGGAAACTCCCAGGAATCTAAAAGGATGACTGTAGATGTAACCAACCGTCTTATTAAATAAGAAACACAGAAACAATGTAAAAGAGAAAGCCGAGAGGTCAGAGCTCAGAGCTAAAATCTCACCCTTCC